CAGCCGGATGGCAACTGGACTTGGAGCTGAGCTAGCTGCGCCCTCCACAACTAAGATTGAAGGACAACAACTTGGCTGTTCCTCTTCCCTAATTCCCCAATAAAATCTTTTAAAAAAAGAAAAAATGGACCACAACAATAGCTCTAATCTCATGACACTGAGCGGATTATATGAGAAGGCATGAGTAAAGTTCTTAGCACAATGGCTGGAAAGTTGTAAGCACTCAAATGTCATAACACTAATAATACTAATAATTATGATAACAAAAATAGCACTATTGTTATTATAATAGGCTAGTCCAGATTTTGAAAATGAAGAGAATCTAAGAGACAAGTTGAGGCTCCTGTAAGACTTGAGATAAAATGTGGGTTAAAATAAAAAAGAATATCAGTTAAACAACTACTTCTATAACCAGTGTCTTGGATCTGAAAGAGATCGAGAATAATTTAGGGCTTTAATAATACGTTGGGAGAGGAGAGTCAATGGCCTACAGAAGTACAAGGTGGCCCAGATCTCCAGTTTGGAGGCCTTTCAAACGCACCAATACTCCTAGGCAAAATCCCTGTCTCTTCTCGGTTCTCATCTTTCCGGCCTCTGGGCTGCATTTCACATATCACAGCCTACCTGGTTTTCCTCTCATTGCAAGGATTATTCTGACTTCTTTCCCAGCTATCCTCCTTCCACAGGCTGACATGGCCATCCCTAAATTCTGCCCCCACCCTCTCAGTGTGCTAGTTCAAAATCAGCTCAGCCTTCTCCCCCTCCATCCAGCTTCATCACTCCTAGTTGTCCAAAGAGCATTTCCACTGAGACCTGCTGACCAGACACCCACGTGAGTTCCTTTTTGCCAAATAAGCTGCCTTTCTCAATGATCCCATTTCCATCAGTAGACTGCCACAAGGGTCATGTGGTGAGGAAACAGAGCCCAAAGAGCCTTCAGTCTTAGACATCTAACCAGGAAGAGCTACAGCGCATGCAGCAAAAACGCATCCTCCAAGCATGGAAATGGAAAACAGCTCTATTTCCAAAGACAAGACCGGTATCAGGGAAATGGTCAGTAGGGCAATAAACCTACTTCTCAGTTCATTTCCCAAAGCTGTAAAGCCAATGCCTTTTCTGGGCCAAAGCCCCAGGACAGAAAGTTCCAGCATGGCTTTTCAGAATAAGATAAATTCACATCTTCAAGTAAATTAACATTCCATTCTCAGCTGACTCATGACCTGGAGCACCAAGTTTGCATGCCTATTTGAATATAGACAGGAGAGAGGACATGGAAATAAAGGGAGGAATATTTACAACTGATCAAAATGAGTGTACCAGCACGTCTCTTCTTAAAACAAAAACCAGCAAAAAGAACATCGTAGAAGAGTCTATTTTTATACCCAAGCTTCTGTTCTGAAGGTCATGTTGCATTAAACCAAGTTAATTGTCCGCCCAATGCCTTCTGATATTTGATCACTTTAGTTGCTAAAAGATGCTTTTTAAAGTGTAAGGATCTTAACGTGGAAGTTGCTGCACACGTGAGGGCAACAAGTGGGTAATAACAAGAACTTTGAAGTTGGGGGAGGTGGGTGGCTAGTTCCCTTCCACACAATTCCTCATTATAACTGTCCTTTTACAATTTTCTCGATTACATTTTAAACAGTTCTGAAGATGCACTGATGTATCTAATTCTTTTTACATTGAAATTTGTCTTTCCAAAACAAAGTCACAGCTGGGAACTGGGGAGATGATATGGCTTTACAAGAAAAACAAGTGCCCATGGAAGACGGATAACAGGCTGCAGCCTTCTCCCTGGCAGGATTGTAACTCTCACGTGTGAAATGATTACAACAAACCTTATCTGAGGCAAAGGGAAGTGAAGAAAGCAGATATTCGAATTCAAATATGTGGCACTTCCTTACATGGGAGCATTGAAGAGCACATCCATCTACAAGAGATGCTTAGGGAGCAAATACTGCCTGCTACAGGAATGTGGATAGAGTGGTTGTCTTAAGGCCCCTTTGGAACTCATAATCGATGAAGCTAACGATGTTATGACCATCCTATCCAACCCCTTGTTAAAAAGCTGACAACATACAAAAAGAGAAAATGGCAAACTGCTCCCCTTCCAATAAAATGTCTCAAATCAGTCCTGACTATCATGTCAGGGGAAATAATATCAGCAATTCTTCGCATCTCTAAGTTCAATGTACAATTGGGCGATACAGGCAATTTAAACTTTCTTAATAGAGCAAATGTGTGGGAGCCAGAAAGCTAAAAGCTGTGTTAAATAATACAACACCGCCACCTAGAGGTCAAACACTAAGGAACCGGGCACTACAGCCAAACCGGGTGAAAAGCTAGACAAAGCTACTGCCCAGACCTCTGCCTTCACATCAAAGCTGCAATGAAGAGACAATTCAAGTGAGCACAAGTTTTCTTCAACATACGAGATATTGAACAAATGCTAGAGTAGCAAAATATGCTTCCTCCATTCCTACCTTCAAGGACTGGTGCTCCGCAAGTGACCAAGAACTAACCAGAGAACACACACCCCCTCCCCCATGACAAGGTGCAGGGGAGGGGAGCAGAGGTGCGAAAAGGGAGGAGCGAGGCTTTCATGGAGGATATGGCCTTTAAGCTGAGCTAATAGAACAGAATTTCTACAGGCCAAGGGAAGTGGATTCCAGCATCAGCATGAGCTACTAAGCTCAGTTGTGAAAATACACACTTTACTCTTACAACTAGTTCGCTGAAGGTTATAAAGACATGTGGAAAATGGAATAAAAATTTTATTTCCAATCCAACTGAGAACGTTTCAGTAAAGTGTCCTTCAGTGTATTATATGTTTCTTGAATAGTCATTTCATAAAGGGTCAAATATACTCAGGAACATGGGATATACACCAAGGTAAAGAGACATCTCTATTGCAGGTCTTCTCAGAGCCTTTAATATTTGACTGGATACGTAGTAAATCTCCAAGAAGAGGCTACAGGATGCTGTTTCCACAATTTAACAATCGACTTCGTTTTCTGCAACACATCCCATGAGCAAACCCTTCCTCCTCCCTACTAGGGAAGGTCACATGGCGGTTTAAGGATGCATGTTCTAGAATAGAACTATGGATTCTGATTCTAACTTCACCATTCACAAGGGAGCCTAGGGGTTTCCCCATCTGCAAAATAGGAACATACACCTACCTCACAAGGTATTGTGAAGACTACATGAATACACATAAACCACCTAAAATAATTGCTAGTGGCTGCTCTCCATGCTTCACGCCCCTCCCGGATGCTCCACCATCTCCCAACTCTGTAGGAGCAGTTCAGGGAAGATGCTATTAACGGAAACACACTCCAGCTATGCCCAACGGCTGGCTGCCTACACTCCCTTCTAAAGATTATGTTCCTTCGGGGGTCTCTCGGGGAAAATGGGAGAGTGTTTAAAGTTGCATTACTAGCTTCGATGGAAAACAACAATGATATTCACTAATAGTCTCCTTGGGATATAACTGGCAGCACTTTCAGCATTTGCAAAACAAAACAGGACAAAGAGACAACCCTAAAAAGTTCACACATTACACACATTGCTTTCCCCATCTACAAAGCTTGTTAACTATTGAAATTTTCTTTAAAATTGCCTGTTTCTCTATAAGCACAGAGCTCAAAACGTAGAAGGTAAATTAATGCAACTCACAAATTCCTTTGGTATTCTATTTTGGGACATCATTATATGTGTGTGTGCGCGCGTGCGTGTGTATACATAAATGAGTGTGAATGGGGGAGGTAGTGCTATGTGAGACAGCTAAAACATCCTGATGCAAAAGATTCTAAAGGTTTTATTTCACCATCTGTCCCAGCTCTCTGAGGTAGCCTGGTACAGATAAAAACCCATCGGGATGCAGAACGTATCAGGCAAACCCTTCGTAACAATTTAATGTGATTCTTCCATTTCCCTTTTCCTGAGTTGTCTCTTTTTCTCATTCACTTTATTTCTATTTCACCATTTTTCACCTTTTCTCCTTACTCCCTAAATTTATAATTTTTCATAGTGGGAAAAAATAGACTTTCTTGGGTACCTATGTGCCGTGGTACACTCATCCTGAGGCAGTACCTCCATGTAACCAATGGGAGCCTGAGGCTGAAGATAAAGGCAGGCAGCCCTGGGCCACAGCCAGCCACTAACTAGATCTGTGACAAGGCTGGCCACCCTTGGCTTCCCCAGGACAGTGCAGTTTACATCTGTTGTGCTGGCATCACTAGTAAGGGCATCCCTTCCACTCTCGATGGTATCCTTGTTTGGAGCTGAAGTTATATGGTCACACACCATCTATAACCCTAGGCAAGGCTGTTTAATCCTCTGGACTTTATAGTTTCCATGATTTGAAAAAGGGCACAGGATTTGATAGTATTTTTAAGATTTTGTTTTCAATCTGTTTCTGTGATATCCATCTCAGTTTTAAAACTGAACTTCTAAAGTAGCCCAATCATGAAATTAAAGATCTTCCAACATCGACCTCCCTCCCTTCTATAAACTAATGTATACGTTACTCCAATCAGTTTAGACCCAACCTAACTACGTACACATCTATATATAAACATTGATTTAACTGACATGTAAGGGTCAATAACTGGAAGAAATGAACAACAAGCTGGAAATCAGTACAAATTTTTTATGTGGTGTTCTACTAAGTTCATCTCCTTAGCCCTTCCTAGCTTGGATACAATGCATCATTATGCCAGGCCCTGGATATCATGAGTGAGATTGGTTAGTGTGAAACACCACAACCAAAAAGCGTTTTCACCTGGGGTTAGACCTAAGCAGAAATGGGCCAGGAGAGATGTCTGGACACAACACATGAAATTCCTACACCAGGACAGAACTTGGGAGTCCTGAAACACAGCCACATTAACCATATGAGGCAGCAAAAGAAAAAAAGTGGATGTTAAAATCACACTGTGGGACAACCCAATGTTCTACCACCTCACCCTCTCAAATCTTAGGCAAATAAAAAACTGATTTTGGTGTAAATACATTTATTGATACCCATTTTATATACTTCAATGAAATAATCTATAAATATAAAAGCCTTTCTTTTGGATATCTCCATGGTCCATGTAAATACTCAGCAGTCAGTCATCTGCAGAAAGCACTCCAGGTCGCACTGTCAGGGTTACAGACCTGAATGTACATATTTCATTAAACAGTGGCACTTATGTACTCAAGTGGTCCAGTGGCTTTGGAATATATGACTACTGGGCATGTGGAGTAAAAATAATGTTTAAGTTTAAATCAACGGAAAGGGTATCAACCATCAACAAAAAGAAACAATTGTGAATTAACCTGGACGAAGAAAGTACCACAGTTGACACTTGGTGTCAGAATACTGGAGATGAACTGAAGTATGCTTAATAACACATGTGTGGCGCCATGTGCTCTCTCCAAATCCCAGGGGACAGCCCACCAGTGCCTTAGGGTCATTCATGGTCACTACAGCAGTACTTAAAGGAATTAGACAGCTTAGAATAAAAGGTATCTAACGGCTGGTATCAGGTTTAAAGAAAAAGGAGTTAAGTATTTGAAGAGCATAATGAGCTCCGCCCCTAGGAGGAGGAGATTATAGAGAAAACAATTTTTTAAATTCCCTTTGCTCCACTGACATGATCATTTATCTTACGCAGGGGAAAGAACCCGGACACCTGGTACCCAAAACACATGTGCAATAATTTTCTTCTGTTTTAAAATTTTTCTCCTCACTACTTCCAAGGGCACTAATGCGGTAGCCACTGTTGACCCTTGCGCTTGACCTGATGAAGCATAAAAGTTTCTCATTTCTTCAGTAACAAATGCAGGCATGTCCTTTGTTGCAGTCAGAGCCCGAGTCTCTGAGTTAGCAAGTACATACATTTAACAGGTCTTAAGTATGCAATGTCCAAAACTGAAATCTGAGAGGCAGTGTTAGAACTTAAGCAAGGCAGGATTCTTAGAGACTACTCAAAATGAAAACTTAAGCATATAAAAACTCAGTTCTTTCTATTATTTTCAACTGGTAAATGACAACAACCCCTGGTAAAGATGGGTGATCTCCAGGTCCAAAATGTCCCAACTATTTAAAGGAGGACCCCCAAAGCGGAGAAATGCACACTTGAGTTCTGTGATACCTAGAATTCTTTTTTTGCCCTTTTTTGTTTGTTTGTTAAAAAAAGAAATAGTATCTTCAGTTGTACACCACTGGTTGAAGGGGTTTTCTTCCAAATGAGAACCTCTCCCCCTTGTCCGCAGTGGAACAGGCACCAGATTCTCACAAGCGGCAACTCCCATGTCCTGTAGCATGTGGCATCTGACCCTGGAGTGGAGAGGAAGCTGGCACAGAGCCCCGACCGCTGGAATTCAGGCTCGACGGCCAGGCTAGATGGCGTTGCGCGGCGTGCCATTGTGTGTCAATGCTTTCAGGCTGGGGGCACTGGTCTGGTGACCACAGCCCCTGTGAGAAGTCACACCCACCTCAAAAACCTCATGAATAGCCTTCCGGAAACAATGGAAGTTGTAGTCTATTAAACCTGCAAGAGAAAGAAAGATCAGGCTTCCTGAATGGCAACTGTGGAATAATCTACTAGGAAACATTTGGTGAAAAAAAAATAACAATAATCAATATGTATTTTAAAAAAAACATCAAGCTGAGGAATTCACTCCGCTGGAAACATGATAAAGCATAGGCCCAAATTGTTAACACTGGTTACTTCTGGGGTCTGGGAGTGGACAGGTTAAATAAAGCAATTAGGAAGGTAAATTTGCTAAGAAAATTTACAATGAAAGTAAAACACTTTAGGGAATATCAAGCTTTTCCTTGTACACATCTTTGGGGCAGCCAATGAAGAGCTGAAGGAAACAGCTAGAATAATAGTTTGGCAAACTGCTCAGCAGAGCCCTAGGGTTTGGGAGGTACCAGAGGGACCCACCAGACAGAACCTCAGGCAGTCTGTACCCCTTCTTCAAGGCATCTCCTTCTTCATCTGATTAATGAACTGGCTTCCAAGTAAGATTTTGGCCAAAGTGTTCTCTTTTGTGACAGAAATGGCTAGTTGCTTACTAAATACCCATTTTTTCCCTTTTTCCTCAGAAACAGAAACCCAATTTTGGATGAGCACACGGATGCTCAGCTGAAACATTCCATTTCCCAGCCTGCCCTGCAGTTACGTATGGCCACATGACCAATTCTGGCCACTAAGATAAGTGGAAGTGTGTGGGACTTCTGTGACGTCTCATTAAAAAGGAAGAGGGTGCATGTATTCTTCCCTCACCCCTGTTCCTCCTTAATGTCTGGAATATGGATAAAATGGCTGCAGCTCCTGGAGCCATTCAAGGCCATGAGGTGGCCTGGAGAATAGAAGCCAATGCTAAGAATGGCAGAACAGAAAGAAAAGCACCTATGCCCTCAAGAACACTGGGACATAAAGACAACATACTAGAAACAAATCAAAACAATCTGGTAACAAACTGACTACAAATGTGAATGGAAGTCCAAACGAGGGAAAGTCACGTGCAAGGCAAGCACAGCCGATGAAGGCTTCGGGAATGAGGCGGCACTCTGGAGAAACAGGAAAGATTTCATTAGGCAGGAAAGAGGGGTAAAATTATAAGAAAAGACACGGGGCTGGCAATGAGAACACAGCACAAGTGGACGACTGGAAAGAAACTAGTCTGCCTGCAGAGAATTCTTGGTAGGAAGTACTGGGAACAACTCCAAATTAGCAAATTAGAGCCAAATTAAGGAGGTCCTTCAGACTTGGGGGAAAAAAACTATAGAAGAAAAATTTAGATAAGTTCAACTACATTAAAATTGACTTCTGTGCAAATGGTAAAATAAAACTGACAAGGAAAGTTGAACACTGGCCTAATATTTGATGATATTATAAAATCATTATTAATTTGTTTACATTTATTAATAGCAATACTGTTATGTCTGAAAAAGAGGACTATCTCTTAGATATATCTGCTAAAATCTACAGACAAAACGATTTGGTACCAGGAATTTGCTTCAAAATAATCTAGTAGGGGAAGAAGTATAAAGATGAAATAAGATGGCTATATTTTTTATAAAGCTGAGTCTGGGTGATAGATTTAAAAGGTTCATTATGTTATTCTCTACTTTTTTTATATATTTGACAGTTTTCACAACAAAAGAGTAAAAAAATAATAACTTAGTTGGAAGGATATACACAAAACAAGATTGACCAGATGTTGATGACTACTGAAGCAGGAAATGGGTACATGAAGAGTCATTGTGCGGTCTATTTTAGTGTATATCTGAAAATTTCCATAACCAAGAACTTAAAAAAATTTTTAAACATTAGAATAGAGGAAAAAAAAAAAGAAATCCTAAGAAATACAAAAAAGATCAGTACAGAGACAAAGGTATATGAAAAGGTAAATTACCAAAGAAGAAACTTGATCAGGCATAAAAAGGTAATCACCATGAAAAAGACGCTTACCCTAACTAGTAAAAGAAGTGAAAATTAGAGCCAGATGAGGTACCATTTTACACCTCCCAGGCTGAAAAATAACTAAACAGTCTAACAATATCAAGTATTACCAAGGACATGAAATGACAAGAACTCCCACACACTACTGCTAGGGTGAAAATGGAAAGCAATGCCTAACAAAGAAGAAGATGTTATGTCCTCTATAAATTCCACTCCTAAATACATACTCTAGAGAAATTCCCCACATGTGTAAGTGGAAAATGTTCATGAGCATTTGTTGCAAAACTATTTTTAATCTTAAAAATAATCTAAATGTTCACCAACAAGAAAATAAATTGTGGTCTATCCAACCCACAAAATATGGTGTGACAGTGAAAATGAATAAACTAGAGCTACATGTTATCAATATGGATCAATTTCAAAAAACAATCTTGAATGAAGAGAAACAAGCAAGACACAGAAGAGACTACTTACATTTTTACATTATTTCTACAAAGATGTACAATATGCTATACTGTTTGAAGTAAAAGAGTAAATCATGCATGGGAAAAATAAAACACTGCAATCAACAGAGTGTAAAGGAGGGGTTTTCAATTGAGAAGACACAGAGGATATATGTGCATTTGTCATGTTTCAGTTCCTAAGCTCAAAGGAATGCAAACATTCTCGTTTCATCCAAAAAGTTTTGCATATCTGAAATAACTCATTAATATGAACATTAATGAAATAATATTCATTTAAAATTAATATTAAAATCTCAGCCAGAAGACCAGGGACTTGCTGCAGTGAATAACAGGGAGCTATTGTGATCCTTAAGTAGTTAAATAACATGATAAAAATAATTTTCTGAAATCTAGTCTGCCTTTAGAATAAAAGATGATACATACTAAGCCTTTTATAGATGTGTGTGTGTGTGTGTGTGTGTGTGTGTGTGTGTGTGTGTGTGTTGAATGCATAACCTCAAGTACAAAGTTACTGCAGCACCTCAAGCCTAGTGGGATAAGGACCTATATTGGAGTCACTGACAGTGGAAATAAAAAAGAAAGCCCAAGAAACAGTTCCAATAAACAAGTAAGATTTGGTGAAAATTCAATGTAAATAATACAGGAAAAGAATGGGAAAGGAGAACACTGAATACACTCTTATCGGCAAGAGCCCCTTCAGCAATACTACCACATGATTACCTGACTACAGATATCTAAGCTTGGACACCAGAAAAACGTCCTAATAACAGAAGTAGGGTAGCCAGAAAAGCCATGAAACAAAAGGGAAAACAGTCATCAATTTGGACACTATGGACAAGATAATCAAATATTTAAGTGCAGATGTCTTACTAATAGCTCCACACCTGGGACAGGAACATGGGCCCAAGTCAGAAGTCATGGCCTGGATGAGCTGACCTGGAGAGTAAGAGAAGTGAGCAGAAAGACTTGGCTCTGAAGAAAGCTGGCGGGGGGCGGAGGGGGGGCAATGATGAGAAAAAACAGGAAAGGTGGTCAGAGGAACAAATATATAAATAAAATAACCCGGGGAGTTCAGCTTTAGGGAAGCAAAGAGAGAAGAAAGCTCCCAGAAAGGAGGGGCTGACAAGGTCACATGCTTCAGAAAGCTTAAGAGGCTACAGAATGAGAAACACCACTGAATGCAGCAAGAAAGTAACCTGGTAACCTCTAAAAGAATCGTCTCAGTAAACTGGTTCTGGGGGAAGCCAAACTGCAGGCAGTTAGGTAATGAAAGGATCCAAAATAAAAGAGACTGGAATAAAAAACTGGATTTAAAATAGATCAAAAGAAGGAAGGAGAAAATCTGACTACTGGGTCATCGGGAAAGTCATGACATATTTTTCTGTTTTTCAATGCAAAAACGTGTCATGACTTTCCCGACAACGCAATACATAGGGAAGGGAGACAAAAGTAATTTGAGCTTTGAAACATCTAACACTGCAATATTATTTTCTCTTGTTTTTAAGAACCTAAGAAATTATGACGAGAACTTAACATAAAAAGAGCTTTTTAAAATGCCATTACCTGGGGCCAGTGAGTGGCTCAGTTGGTTAAGAGCACGAGCTCCGAGCAACAGGGTGGCCGGTTCGATTCCCACAGGGGCCAGTGAGCTGCACCTGAGCTGAGCTGCCGCTGAGCTGCCAACAGGTGGCAGGATGGCTCAGGTGGTGAGAGCACGTGCTCCTAACAACAAGGTTGCCGGTTCGACTCCCGCAATGAATAGTGGGCCAAGCCCACCCGCAACTAAGATTGAACACAGCACCTTGAGCTGAGCTGCCCTGAGCTGCTGAAGGGAGGCCGGGTGGTGGGCTATGCCCACCCACAACTAAAACTGAACATGGCACCTTGAGCTGAGTGGCCACGAGCTGCCAATGGGCGGCCAGATGCCGACTGGACTTGGAGCTGAGTTAGCTGCACCCTCCATAACTAAGACTGACGAACAATAACTTGGCTGTTCCCCTTCCCCAATTCCGCAACACTGTTACCCTTCCCCAAGTCCCAATAAAATCTTAAAAAAAAAAAAAAAATGCCAGTACCTTTTCGTTCAAAACTTTCTTCCCTAAGAATGCAGACCAGTGCCAAAAATTTAGTCACTTCCTTTAAATAAAGGACAGTTGTATTATTCAGCTTGATAATTGCCATAGATTCTTTGTCATAAGCACTTCCACTGCCATCTTCCTTTAACCTGTTATAAAAGAAAGTATTGTTTGTTACAGGGTTCCCAACTAGGTTTTTTGTCATATTTAATTTTCATAATGACAAGTCTTTCCACCCAGCTTCCCGAATGTCTTCTGAGAAAGAAGAATACTGGCTTATATATATTGGAACAGAAGTTCTCGTTTAGGTAGGGTTCCCAGACTTTGATGCAGCATTCCATGCATGCATTCAAACCTTCATCATTTACCTAAAATGCATGGAATACAGCAGGCTCAAATCTTCCCTCATATTAATCTGTACTGACACTGTCTGCAAATGAAGGACCTAAACTACAAAAACTGCCATTAGTGAAAAAGAGTAAAACTAAAATAAATACAGTCTATCAGATACTGTGTGTGGGAGGGGATGGAAAGGACGGGGAGGGGGGGCGGCCGAGTGGCTCAGTTGGTTAAGAGCTTAAGAGTATGAGCTCTGAGCAACAGGGCCGCCAGTTCGACTCCCACATGGGCCAGTGATGCTCTGCCCGAGCTGAGCTGCCAACAAGTGGCAGGATGGCTCAGCTGGTGAGAGTATGTGCTCCTAACAACAAGACTGCATGTTCGATGGTGGGCTACGCTCGCCCGCAACTAAAACTGAACTTAGCACCTTAAGCTGAACTGCCACCCAGATGGCTCAGAGGATAGAGCATGCGCTCTTTAACAAGGCTGTCAGTTTGATTCCCGCATTAAATGGTGGCTATGCTCACCCGCCGCAACTAAGACTAAACTCGGCACCTTGAGATGAGCTGCCACCCGGATGGCTCAGTAGATAGAGCATGTGCTCTTAACAAGAAGGCTGCTGGTTCGACTCCCACATGGGATGGTGGCTACGCCCACCTGCAACTAAGATTGAACACAGCACCTTGAGCTTAGAGGCCACGAGCTGCTGACGGGCAGCCAGATGACGACTGGTGCCCTCCACAACTAAGACTGAAGAATAACAACTTGGCTGGTCCCCTTCCCCAATTCCCCAACACTGTTCCCCTCCCCCAACTCCCCAATTAAAAGAAAGGGAAAAAAAAGATACTGCGGGGGCCAGCCGAGTGGCGCAGTTGGTTAAGGCTTGGCTTGGGAGCAACAGCTCTGAGCAGCAGGGCTGCTGGTTCGGTTCCCACATGGGCCAGTGATGCTGTGCCCTCTATAGCTAAGATGGTGAACAACAGCTCGACTTGGAGCTGGGCTGCCGTGAACTACCGTGAGAGACCGGCAGCCTGTGAGAACTGCCGTGAACTGCCGTGAGCTGCCGTCCAATGGCCAGTGACCGACTGCCTCAGCTGGGAAGAGCGCAATGATCATAATACCAAGATGAGCCAGTGAAGCGGCGTCCTCTACAACTAGATTGAAGAACAAAAGGACAGCAACTTGTCTGTTCCCCTTCCCCGATTCCCGACGCAGTTCCCCTCCCCCAATTCCCTAATAAAAATCTAAAAAAAAAAAACGATACTGTGGAATCCTGATGTTTGCAAAGTGAGCCTGTAAGGGTCTGAAAGCTTTCATTTATTAAACTAGAATTGTCATTCTAAAATTGTTATATGTAGTCCCCCTTGAAAAAATGTAAATCAACAGTCAACTATGAAGCAAATTAAACTATAATAAAGCACACCAAATTGTACACGAAGATTGTGTTAATAATGAGATAATGGATTTTTTTCTTTCATAATGTACTTTATATTTTACAATGTACCTTACACTGAAAATAAACTTTACAACTACATTTGATTTTATTATAAATAATTGATTTATGAAATTTTAATTTGTTTGTTTTAAAGAAAAAGCAAATTCATCCATTTTTAAAAGTAGGAATGCCAACATGAAACTTTACTGAATAATATAATAAACAAACATCTCATTTTCATTATGGAAAGAAAACAAAGGAGAGCAAGTAATCACGAAAGTGAAGAACAGACAAGAAAAACAGGTGAGATAAATGCATTCTCCTGTCAGAGGCAGCTGAAGAAACACACTGACAAATTAGGCAGACAGACCAAGGTGAAGGGCAGGGAGAGAGCGATGAAAGAGTTTAGACTAGGTGGAGCAGAGAGGAACAACAGATAAAGGACACACGTATCAGAAAGGGCCTTGCTGATGTTAACATAGCAGGGGAATCAGGGCTATCTGAGGCAACAGAGGTTACTGGCTTTTGAAATACCAATAATTGTCCCAAGTTCTCACTCATCCTCTGGGCTACTCTACAAAATCACATATTTGCTAGCTTTTATAAATTTCTGTAAACTTTGGTGACTTTTCATAAAGAGTTTACATTTTAGAGATTTATTTTGGAAACTCAGGCATACAGGTCAAATTTTTATAACTCCTCTGACATCCAAATTCCAATTTCCTTGTTTCTTAGCATTCTAAAAAATTAAGAATTTGGGCTGGCCGACTGATGTGTTGGTTAAGAGCTGGTTTGGGATGCCAGCTCTGAGCAGCAGGGCCCGGGTTCGGATCCCATATTAGGGCCAGTGATGCTGCGCTCTCTACAGCTAAAATGGTGAACAACAGCTCGACCTGGAGCTGGGCTGTCGTGAGTTGCTGGTGTCGGTGTAGGCTGCAATGAGGCTGCAGTGGGCTCCCGTAAGCTACCATGAGTGGCCAGCAGCCAGCATGAGCTGCCGGCATGAGCTGCCAAGAGCTGCCATGAGCGGCCGTCCAGTGGCGGCGACCGATCTGCCTCACCTGGGAAGAGTGCAATAATACCAACATGGACCAGTGAAGCGACATCTTCCACAACTAGACTGAAGAACAAAAAGGACAGCAACTTGTCTGTTCCCCTTCCCCGAGTCCCCAATGCTGTTCCCCTCCCCCAATTCCCCAATAAAATCTTTTAAAAAAAAATAAATAAAAATTTCTCATTCCACAAAGCCAGAGGTTAAATTAGGATTCAGTACATACTCTGTTTCTCAGGATGTTTTAAATAAATTAATCTAGCTTTTGATATAGCTAAGTCCAGCGGTTCTCAACCTGTGGGTCGCAACCCTTTTGGGGTCGAACGACCCTTTCACAGGGGTCGCCTAAGACCATCGGAAAACAAAAAGATATTTACATTACGATTCATAACAGTAGCAAAATTACAGTTATAGAGTAGCAACGAAAATAATTTTATGGTTGGGGGTCACCACAACATGAGGAACTGTATTAAGGGGTCGCGGCATTAGAAAGGTTGAGAACCGCTGGCTAAGTCCCTGAGGGAAAAGACGCAGTGCAACCCCTCTCTCTGCCCCCCTCCCAAATAATGGCAGGAGAAACTTTCAGTGATACCTAAGTCTGGCTTTTTCAGCTGTTCTTATCCATTGTCTCCGAAGGTGTTAAGACCAACCCAGCAGCACACCTACAGAGAAATTATCCTCCAAGTTGAAGCACTATGGTCAGAACAAGTCCACTTCAGACAATACTTGCTAGAGGCCTCAGAAATGAATCCCCCTGACAAATCAAAATGGTAGTTTTCCACCTGAGATCTTGCAGAAATACGTACATAACTTACCCATATATACAAGACACATCAATTACAACATCAATCATGTCACAGCAAAGTTCGTAAGATTGCATATCCACAGGAGAACTGTCTGTTGCAATGTAGATTTTGCTGACAACATCAAAGAGAAAAGCTTTTTCAATACCTGAATTCTTGGAAAAATAAAATTGGAGAGGTGTTCAGTTTTTTTTAAGAATCACAATTTGTAACTTATCAAAGATCTTGAATTACTGATGAACATACAAGGACATTTTTAGTTATACAACTCAATACTAAAATAACCAAACAGTATTTGGTTGTGAGACACTTGTATTATCCAAAGAATAAAAATGAAATTATTTCTCTGCTCTGATTTACTGACATAATTGCATTAGTCAAATTTGTTTTTATTTCCTCCTCTTCACTTAAATGAATTATTTTCTAAGACACCACCAAAAAAAACCAAACAAAAAAAAATCCTCCAAAAATTAAGCCATGCTACATTTTCAATAACCCTTTCTTGTTACAATAATCAATTTCTAATTTGAATGACCTTTCTACCACAAAGACTTTATGTGACAATTAGCAAAACATAAATGAATTAGTTTGATGTCAACAACTAGCATAAACCAAAAGCCCGAAAAAACTGGAGGTCACTACACATTGAGTCCTTTAAACTAATGTTTGGAAAATATAATGACTGGATGCTAAATTTATTGGGGGATATCCTTTTTTATTAAGCTGAATCCTCAAAATATAAGAATGTGAAATATGACACTACTAACATTACAGTTAGCAAGCACAGGAAAAGGTCAATTTTTCAATGCAACCTCAGGGATTAAACTGAGTCAAATTCCCAAAACCCAGTTCTTCCAGTTACTACTCTTCCTTCAGGAAACAGATATCATGAAGATATTTTTAATTAAGAAAGCATAAGGAAATTTTAAATTTTAAGACAAAAGGGGTGAGTACTAAGAAAAGAATTCAGAAAATAACTCAAGCCATTTTTTAATGTCATTTATTTTGCACGTTGTGTCATTTAGTCTTTAAACTGGATTCAGACAAATTCAAGCCTTTTTTTAGAGAATGTGATAATACAAATATATTCAATGAAAAGGGAATAGAAAACTATAGTGAATGAAATAGCTCACTTACTGATATAAAAATATTTAATAGGTTTTCCAAGGTCGGCAGTTGTGGAATGAGTTTCTGCACCACCTTACTAAAGGCTTCAAATATTGAATGGTCATAGATACTAGTCAAATAAAAGCTGAAAAACATAACAGTTTGGTTAATTTGAAAAATATCTTAAGTTTGGTGACAATTATCATAATGCACAAAATTTTAAGTTTCTTAACATCTGATTTCATTAAGTTCAAATAAAGCCTTTTAATCTTGTCCACCATTCCAATCATTCAAGATGACAAATGCAGTGGCCCCACCTGACTTGTGGCTATCCATCCCTTTACTGCATTTACACAGAAGGCAACTGAGGTAGTACCCAGGAAAGAAATTTTCAGATGCAGAAACTTAAATACTCACCTAAGCCTTTGCAATTTAATCCAAAAAGCTCAGTTTAAGCCAATAACTGACAAAAACTAAGAGAAAGCTCAGAGGAAATAGGTGACATTTAGTAAATAAGTACCTAATTCAGGTTTCTACTAAAATGTTATCTCCTCAGAAAGTTCTTTGCTGACCTCCCTACCTAAACTAGTACCCCTGTACCTATTGCTTTCTACCCCTTTCCCCTAATTTATTTTTCTTCACAGCATTGATAAGTACTTAAAATTACACTATACATTTATTTCTAAGTGCTTTTGAGCTGTCTCATTCATCAGAATGCAAACTCCATGAGGACAGAGACTTTATCAGTCTGGCTTGTAGCTACAAGCCCACTGCCCTGAACAGTGCTCATAAATATTTGTTGAATAAACAAATGAATACAACTGGTGCTTAGGGTTTATGTAAATAACATATTAAGAAGGATGGGAGCTGGGGACCTACAGAGAATGGGACAGGAATCTGGTGGCCCAAAAGGATACATGGTGAAGAAGTAATATCTGTAGAATTAACAAACATACATTTGAGGGAGACAGGGGTAGGCCTTTAACAATTTAAAGTGTGGACAATTCTGGTTTTTTGCTCAGAGAGTATACTCCTCATTAAATAGTTGTATCCGTGACACACTTGTAAGTACATATTACAAAATCAGAAACACAGAATTGTGTGTATCATACTTCACAGGTAATTTAAAGATACTTTCAAGCTGACCTAACAACTCAACCCTATGCAAGATGGGGCTCTACTCTAGATGTGAGAGAAATGGAATAGGTAAGGCCAAGATGACCCCTCCAAAGGCACCAGGGCCTAAGGAATGTTTTAGTGTTTCCTTTATGCAAAAAGGATAGCAATGGGAGAAGGTCCTGCAAGGCCAGTGAGGCCTGGAGATGGATAGGGGCAGGGCAAACAGGGCATTTTAGTAAGCTGAGTTTCTGGAAACCGGAATAGCGAATGGAACCTCATCTGTAGGACTGCTAGTAATTATGAAAAGCTTGATGCAAAATTCTACTGAGGTTAACAAGGCGTAGGGCCCTATAAAGAACTGGGGGAAGGGACAGTGTATACCACTGGAGTAGGATGCCCTGGAAAGGAACACAGACATGCTATGGAAAATTAGTTAGGATTCCCATGGGCACTGGGGAACACAGCACAATCATGGTTTAAAATCCAGTATTAATTGTGGATTCCCGGGCTGGTCAAGTGGCTCAGTTAGTTAAGAGTTGGCTTAAGAGCGCAAGCTCTGAGCAACAAGGCTGCCGGTTCAATTCCCACATGGGCCAGTGACACTGCACCTGAGCTGAGCTGTCGCCGAGCTGCCAACAGGTGGCAGGATGGCTCAGCTGATGTAACAACAACATTGCCTGTTCAATGGTGGGCTATGCCCACCCGCAACTAAGACTGAACTTGGCACCTTGAGCTGAGCTGCCGCCGGGATGGCTCAGTGGATAAGGCATGCACTCTTGACAACAAGGCTGCTGGTTCAACTCCCGCACGGGATGGTGGCTATGCCTACCCACAACTAAGATTGAACACAGTGCCTTGAACTTAGAGGCCACGAGCTGCCAACTGGAAGCCAGATGGGGAATGGCGCCCTCCACAACGTAGACTGAAGAACAACAACTTGGCTGGTCCCCTTTCCCAATTCCCCAACACTGTTCTCCTCCCCCAATTCCCCAATAAAAATCTTAAAAAAAAAAAATAGTGGATTCCTAAAAAATATGATTGAGGAATTTCATGGGGAGGCACTTTCACTTTCTCTTACAAATACTGCTGAAATTTTTAAAGCATTACTTATAAAATATGTTAAATTTTTAATCCAGGCAAACTAGAGATCAATGAGATTTTTCTACATGATTTCCTAGAAGAATAATTCAGGTTTCAAAAACCTTGAAACCTGAGGCCCTAAGGAATATTACTGGCAGGAATGGGGGTTGGCTTGAGCCTATAAGGAAGTCACTGTAACAGACAAGGGATAAGGAAATAGCTACTTTTGTGTCTCTCCTGCTTCCCCTTTAAGCTGTTTATATCATCAAGAGAACTTTTTCTTGGGTACTTTTTATTACTCATTTCTACCTACACCACCACAAAAACATAAGATGTAGGAAATACTCCTCACACACTTTTACAATGCAAGTACACAAATCATCAATCCCCTCTAGTAGGTGTTCTTTGATAATTTCTTAATGGTACTTAATTATGAACCAGCAGTTTTTAAATTTAATAGCAGCCCTAAGCAGATTTACAGGCTAAACCCACCTAACCCAAACTTTAGAGTTTCATGAAAGCAGAGTGTTTTAAAAACCATAAACAAAATACATTACAGTCGAGATTTGAACATGCATCCACTTTAAAAGACTCTTCCTACTGAGAAAAAATACTGTAAAAACTGAAGCTACCGAGTTCTATAGCCTTGAACTGAGGCAAGAAGGAAAAAAAAAAGTGATGAAACTACAAGAGGGGAGTCCCAAAGCAATTTTATGCCATGAGGAAACAGCCTGACTCTGATCTCTTGGGATGAGTTTGTAAAAAGCACAAACAGAAACACTTCACATGACTTCAACCTCCAGGAAAATGCGCAAAAGCAGGAAAGTAATTTCTCAATAACATCAGGCTCCCAAAACTGCTTGAATCCAACAAAGAATAAATCAAACACATTACAGATTTGGGAAAGGTATACCAGTGACAGAAAGCTATGTGTTTGTCATGACAGAGATGGGAATACATTTACACATTTTTCAGGGCTCCCATATCAAACACACATGTTGTTACCTAAGGTGGAGTTTTTCTAGCCCAGCATCTGCAAGGTCATCATTGGCCCTTTGATGAATGTCCCTCTGTGTTTCTATTTTGTGATCATCAGACAGACCATCAACTTTGTGAATAAAAACCTCAAAATTCATGTCTGGGTTAACTTTGTAGGCTTTAGAAACAGTAATGTGAAGTCTTGTTAAAGCCTCCATGTAGTCATCCTGTAAGTCAGAACAAAATAGTGTTTACAAAGAAATCGTGTAAAAGTCAAGTAATGAGTTAAGAAAGCCTCAAACCACCTCTGTCCCCAACCACAGAAAATGTTATCCTAATTATTCATAAATACTCAAACATTCAAATACATTAACTTAATATCACTAAATATATCTTTAAGAAAACAAAATTCAATTACCAAGTTAACACTTGTAATTTTTGTTAATGATAAAGGAAAAATGAAATGACATTTCTTCACAATATAATTTTTTTAACGTAATCCCAGCTCTGCCATTTATTAGATGTGTGACTTTAAGCAGGTTGCTTAAACTCTCATGATCTCAGTTTCCTCATCTGTAAAACTGGAATCACAGTACCTACCTCACAGTATTGTGAAAAATAAATTAAATTAGATCAGGTATGTGAAAGTATACAGAGCTTTACCATTACAGAGCCTGTCACTCGGAAAGCATTCCCAAATAATGTTTAGGCTTATAAAAAGCTTTTTAAGGACAGGGACATGTCCCCATTCATCTGAGTACCTGCCATTTGCTAGGCACTCAATAAATGGTTGGGCTAAACTCAATTTGGACAATTAAGTAAACTACCCACTTTAATATTTACTGACTCAGTTCTCATATTCCTCCTGCTATTATGGGCATTGATGAGATCTTTCAGTGAGTGACATCACTATTGTAATAGTTAATAAAAGTACAGCAATGTCTTCTACTAACAAATAAAAGTGGAAAGCCACTCATTAACTAGAACTTAAGGATATAACCATATCTCCTAGTCATCTGCTATTCTGCACTTGCACAATGGCACGCCTGCTCCCAAAGCACTCTGCATCTCTTGTACTGCTGGGGAATCTACTGGCAACGAAATAAGCTGCAAGAAGCACATGACAAAGAAGATAAACAACTCTGCTTTGTTTCTACATCTTTTGCCACCAGAGAAGAAAAGTAAACATCATTATTCCGAACTACCTGTGCATCAATGACATATATCAATGCTCCTGTTCCCCTGAAGATCATCTCGTAGTCAAAAGTTGGGTCAAAAAAGTCCATTTGCCCAGGAAAATCCCATATTTGGAAATTCACAAAGGAGCTATTGGAAATGTCATCTTTATAAATCTTGTTGGTACTTTCCAAAAAGAGGGTCTCGTTGGGTGACATTTTATGAAAAACCACCTGTTAAAGGAAAGAAGACAATTTTGTGACTATTCAATTTTGTATTTAAAGTTCAAAATTGTACCCTTAACATAATTTAAAGAATCTGATCCCACAGCAAAAATTTTTAAAGAGGTAAAAAGTGAATGGTGTATCCACCGCTAGTCACTGACAAAACAGAAGATACCAAATTACTTTCCATTCAGCCTATTTTAGAGTTGAAACTTTATTTTCTCTGCACTATATTCAATACTAGTAGTAATGCTGTCACTCATCTCAATTGATTTTTTCCTGTTAAATTGTATTAATTCTGTCAAAATCTGCTTTAAGATTATGAAAGTGTATAGCTAAAGTTTAAGAAGCTTGTTCATTGAAAACTTATTGGAATGCCTACATTAGGCTCTGAGGAAAAACCAGAAATGAAATTGACTGAACCTTGCCCTCATTGAGTTTGCTGTCTTGTGGAAGAAATAAAACAAAGACAGTAATTATACCAAGTAGAAAGCGATAAGGGGCGGGGAGGAGAGGAGACACTGGGAATAGACAGAGAAAAGCCAGCTGCGGTAAGAAATGGTAAAGGCAATTAAGAATTACAATAATCACATTCCGCACAACTCTAACATAAAACCAATATGCCTCTGTTACTTTCTAGAGAGAAAAATGGACAGTTACTCCCAGTGAGTCATAAGTGAAAAAATTAAAATCAGGTTGCTAAAAACTGATTTTGCTGTAGACAACAAATTTTGCTGTAGAGGTGAAAATTAAATTAAAACATAGTAATCTAGTAAATTCGGAAGAAGGCTAATTTTTAAAAACATCACGTCTACCAGATATCGCAGAGGTTTATTTTGGATAGACCTTTGCAACCAAGAGGAAAGGGCAAAAGAGCAGGTATCTGGTGTTTTATCACCAGCTCACTTTGTAAGGGGGGATGGCTGATGGAGGCGGCCAAACTTGCCTCTATTTTCCCCTTACTAAAGAGTGTACAGACCTCCACTCGGTCCTGGCAGACCCCAAGTGAACGCAAATGGACTGACCTAGGTCTGCAAATATTCTCAAGGTCTCAGATTTCTGTAACCACACACAGGAGTAACATCACCAGTATTATACTCACCAGGCCACAAGTACTAAAATAGGTGGCATAATAGCCCCAATTCCCAATAATGTTACAGTAAAGTCTCCTTCGTGCTAGTAACAAGAGCAAGCATTTAGATGGCCAGTGACTTTGTCACAACATTCTGACGTTGCTCCCTGGGGCTCACCTGAAAAGCCCTGCAAACTCAGGTCACCTGAAGTGAGTGGAACACACAAAAACGGGGCAGGGGAGGGAGTCCGTGAAGTTCTTCAAGTTATAACTAGGGAGTAGGTCTGTTTCGTAAAGGCACAGGGGCTGGGTCCCAGGAGGCGGAGGTCCCAGGCAGTGCCACGGGCACCTGCCTCCTGCCAGCCAGTTTCGCCTTCGGGGACCCACTCGGCCTCGGCTGACTTGGGCGTGCACTTAGAGGTCGGGGTCCTCGCACGGGCCGCGCCTCAGGCTCTGCTCCCCAGAGAAGAGAAAGCGCAGTGGGAAAGCCCTGCAGACCAGCCCGGGCCGCCGCCCTCCTCGGGGGCCTCCCCCGCCAGGCGGCCACCGAGCCCCCAGGAAGGGGCGGGGGAGGGACGGAGGGACGCGGCGCGGCCTCACTCACCTTCTGGATGGAGGACTTGCCGCTGCGCCGGAGCCCCATGAGCAGTATCCTCGGCTTGGAGCTGTCAGCTCCCCCCGGGCCACAACCTCCGCCGGCCCCCGCCCCAACCCCGCCGCCCGCGGCTGCCGTCTCCTCTTCCTCCTCCTCCACGCCGTAGCCGAAGTCCTTTGGGAACGAATCCGCCGCGCCGTAGCTGCCGGCGAGGGGCGCCTCCTCCGCCCCGTACTGCAGGGACATGGTGCTGGAGCCGCCGCCACCCGCGCCTTGACAGGGCAGGCCAGGCCAAGCCAGGCCGCCGCCTCCCCAGTTCTCCGCCACCGCCGCCGCCCCCGGCAGCCGCCACCGCCGTGCGGCCCGCCCCCCGGAGCCCGGCCCTCATTGGCTTCACTCCGAGAACCAGCTGCTCATTGGCCGTTCAAGTTGCCACTCAAAGGCAGCAGGGTAGGTGGTGCCTGTCACGTGCCCGGAATCACCTGACTCGGAGCCGAGGTGGGGGGAGGAGGAGTCACGAGGAGGGTGGCCCCGCCGGGCCGAGCCCTCTGCCCTCAGCCCCAGCCCGCACCTAGGTCCTGCCCAGCTACGCGCGTTGTTTCTCACCGCTGTCCTGCCATCTTCGGAGCTCTGGAGGCCATCGCAACGGGAGATGCTCTCTGGGCATCTGGGAGAACTGATTGTCCTACTACAATTGTACTCGCCCAAACCAACATTTATTGATGCCTGCGAAGTCCTGGGGCACAAGGAGCACAAAACTGGAACCCACACGGACCCTGCCTCTGCTCTCCAGGTGTTAGAAGATTAATAGATATCGGACCTCTGCGTAAGTAGCCTTGGTACGAGATTTGGGGTGGGAAGGTCAAAGGTACAGATAAAAATGCTCGGGAGTTGGGAGCGTGAGACACACTACAAGGAGCTGGTGTCTGAGCAAGGACTAGATGGATGGCTATGGGTGGGAAATGCAAAGGTATGGAGGAGGAGCCAGCCAGAGTGTGGGCAAAATCTCAAACAAGGCAGAGTGATGAGTATAACAACAGTTCTAGCAGGTAGGACAGCAGATCACTGACAGTGAATACTGCTGCCACTTCAAACTCAACAGGACTCAATTTCCCCACCTACCCACCTATCCAAAGTCTAGTTCTCCAGTAATTCCATCCCCCCATTGAGCACTGCATCTTCCATGACCTCCTTCAAGTCAGAGACCAAAGGAATGAATAATGAAAGCAAACCAAAGCTAATGTTTGTCACCAAATGTTTGAGAAAGCTAGAGGAATTTCCACCCTATGTCAGGCTTTAGAATGGAAATTTGACAAAAGAGGATCTTCCTCTTAAAGTGGGGGTGGGGGTGGTACTGGTCCTCCAAGGAAACTACTTGATTATGAAGGGAAAGCATGTTCATGTGGCTTTGAGACTTGGTTGTGTCTGAATCTAGAAGTTAAACGTAGGATACAGCCTTAGAGGTCACGTGGTCCAACTTCTTGCCTATAGAGGATCTACTGTGCAGCATCTCTGATAGACACACAGCATACACTGCAATAGTTCTAAGGGAAGAGAGCTCACTATCACAGAAGGCAGTCAATTCCTCTGTGGTAGAACTTTGTTTAAAACAAAGTCTCTTATTCAGGCCAAAAATCACACTCCGTGAATCTTATAAAGGAATAACACAGGAGTAGTCTTCATCTCTTTCATGACAGCCCTAGATTGCAGTCTTCATTACGCACTAAGTCTTCTCCGCTCCACATTAAACATACTTCAGTTCCTTCTATGGTGATGTCCAGCAAAATGTTAGATGATGATAGAAATGTTCTACATCAGTACTGGTCACTATAGTAGCCAATGTGGATTGAGCACTTGAAATGTTGCTAGTGTGACTGAGGAACTGAACTTTGACTTTTATTTAATAGCCAGATGTGGTTATGACTACCATATTGGACAGCACAGCCTTGTTATTTTCAAATGCCTTCTCCCTATTGGTCACTCTCCTTTATATGTATGCATTTGAGCTTGTCAATATCCATCAAACGCCTGGTCTCTACAATGCAATATTGACCAATATAGCTTTCAGGATGACTGTTTAGCACCTGGATAATATTTCTATTAATGCTTTCCAGAATGGAATTACTTTTTATTATCCATAGAGTATAAATAGTTCCCACTGATAATAACTAGAACTAGTCCTTTGTCAGCAATCCTACTGCCTAAACTTGTATAACTGCATTTTTTAACCTAAATATAAGACTTGATATTTCAGCTTTTTTATTTAGGCCCAGAAGTTTGGATATGCCCAAGTTGTTAAGCATTTTCAAGCTTGTTTCAATAGCCTATCAACCAGCCCTTCCAACTTTGTGGCACTTACTACTATCTGACCCACATGTAGTCTTTTACAATTTGCAAGGTGCTTTTCATCCATTATATTTGATTTGTTCCTTACAAAACCTTGTGAGGTAGGCAAGATATGAAATCTGCACTTTATAGATAAGTTAGCTGAAGCACAGCAGGAACTGAGTGGATGGGATCCTTTTTCTACTCCATTGAGCCTCTTCTTGTATATTGTCTTCATCCAAGTCCTTGATAGAAATGTTGAAGAGGCCCTCCAGAGGCCAGGCTGACGCTAAATTCTCAAATAGCACTGATTGGTACAGCAGTTCAGCAGGTCAGTTCCACCAAACAGTATGATTATCCAACCCATAGGTTGCCATGCTGTCCAAAAGGATGGTACAAGAGACAGTCACCTGACTACATAAATATTAATACTAGTCCCATGGGAAAAAAGCAAATGAGGGCTGGCTACCAAAAAAGTTATACTTGTCTACATACACAAAGGACTATCATACCAACTGCTTTACAAAGCCAATCTCCCTCTCTCCCAAAACCCCTATGGGGCCAAATTTTATTAGTCTTATGACTCTTCGCACATCCTATCCCACACTGTAATTGCTTATATACATATCTCATAACTAACTTCAAGTCATTCATCCTTAGAACACCCAGGACTCAGTCCACTGCTGTCCATGTAGGAGGCACTCAACTTGGTAAAAGATAAACCAATATTCAAGTAAATGTTCTTCCAACAGTATCTGGCCCCCCTCCAAAACCAAACTTGTGACTAAAAAAGGCACAGACCATTGCCACATTCCTGCCAATATGACTGATTAAAATGTCCTTATAATTGGCTTAGTGACAATTTCCAGCAGGTGCTGAGACTTTTGCTAGTTAAACCAGCTTTCATTGGATTGTTTTTTCTCTGTGTTTTGACCGAAAAATAAAGACAGGTTCTCTAACCATCAGGATAGGATGCATGAAATAGGGCTACTTCTTAATGTCAGTCAATCAGTAAGGAAAATACATGATCTAGAAAACAAAACATGTTTGTAGGTGTTCTAAAATAAAGGAAAAAGGAGTAACAAACAAGAATATAGTGCTTTACCATTTACAAATCTTTCACATACATTCCATTTGACCCTCACAACAACCCTGTGAGGTAGGCAGCACAGATATTCTTCTCATTTAACAGATGAGGAAAATGAATCTCAGAGCAGTGAACTAACGTTCCCAAGATTCTACAGTTAGTAAATAATTTGTATTAATATCAGTCTTTGGCCTAAAAATTCAGCACCCAACCTCCCCTCATACTTGCCCTACCTACTTCACAGGGATAATGAAGATACAACGAATTCAAGGCTAGAAAAATACTTTGAGGGAAAAAAGCACTATATAATTATACCCGCAAATTATAATTTTCCACGATATATGGCTCATTTCCCTTTCATCCCAACTTGTGTGTGAGCCCAGAATTTTATCTTGCCTGTTCTTTGCTCAACTAAGCAACTAAATAGTATAGGGGAACAGTGTGATCCTGTTTAAAGTTATATAAATTACAGTCAGGGTAATTGCTATTACAGTAAATTGAAAATAGAAGACCAATGTGCAAGTAGGACCCGCTGAAGCACAGAGCAAGCAAGGCAACATTGTCAGATAGGGTATGATTGCATAGAAGGAAAACGTGGTATCAGGGTTCGAACTGGCGCACACACCGTTATCTAAGGCAAAGTGGTGGCAAAGAAGAATTATTTGTCCCACATGATATAAACAAGCAAAAGATTCACGGGAACCCATCCACTCAGAAGCATCTGTCACACAGATATCTCCAGCTGCCCACAGAGAATACAGTGTCATCTTCATTTTAAAGCATGACTGTACCTGTGCTCATATCCTGAACTAAACCAAGAAACAGCTTCATGCTAACCTTCCTTGGCTAAAATAGAACCAGTACCATCAGAAACTCTTTTAAGGTAATGAATTAGATGGCTGTGTTTAGAATTTTTTCAGGGTTCACTTTGGATTCTCCTGCTTTTAAGACCCAAAGAAAGTTATATTGCGTTTTTATTGGTGATTCTAAGTATATATGTTTATAACAGTTAAAGTGTAATAGGTGAATTAAACATATTAAAAGAGTTCTATAGCATCTGTTCAGAAAAGATTATATACTATACAAACTATTCAAGTCATACAAAACCATTTTTTCAGTGTCTTTTCAACTGAGAAGAATCCTATTCAGCACGCTTCTCTTCCTGAGGTGGTTCATACTGAGCAAGCTATAGGGCAAAGACAGAGTAGTTTAGGTGAATTTTAATTCTATATTGGGTAAAAAATTTAATAGTAACAAAACGAGTTAACTATTATTCAATTTAATTATTGTAAGTTTATATTAATATCCTATCCTTTTTAAAACTATTCAAAAAATATTCAATGATTTAAGATTTAATACAAGTAAACCTAATGAAGGCTCTTTTTACATAAATTTTTACCATTTCTAGGAAACTAAGATTTAATTACAATTCATGGCTACAGTGCTGAAATACTTGACATGCAATAATCTATATCTTCCCAAAGATGTTGTGGTTTATAATAAGGAATTTTCTTCCCCTCCTCCAAAAGTTTACTGAATTTTCTCCTAAAAAGTAGAGAAAAAGAATTATGTGACATATGAATCTAGCCAGTCAATGAAGAGCTGCTAATATCTTTGACTTACAAGGTGTCCAAGAGTTAACTGGCATTTGCACATTGTGGAATCTTGGTAATTTAAGATACTGCATTTTCTTTTATGTTAAGTTGTGGGAGAACACTAGGCTAAGATTTGAGTAGTTCCATTTTAGCTGTCAAGAGTTGTTGAGAAGATAAAACACATGAGAAATGCCTAGAGTAATGTAAAATGCAGAGTGTGGTGAAACCCCAAAGACTTAGAGTTGACTGATCTGAAATTTATGAAAATTCTCACAGGAGTTTAAACAAAGAAAAAAACTTTAACACTAGACAAAATTAAGTGCAAACAAAATTTACAGAGGTACATTAACACATTACAGGGCCTCCACATAAAACTAGCAATGGCCCTGTCCTGACCTACTTAAATCAATTGCTTAAGACTCAGAAATCTCCATTTACTTTTATAAGCAGCATTAACCAGTGTTCTCATCTTCTTGTTGATGCACATTTCTAAGAACCTCTTGACCACACTTGGCTGTCCTATTTATAATTTATCTGTGGTTTTATAAAAAGGGCATCCAGTCAGCCTTGCAATTAACTGAGATTGATATTCACCTTCCTCCCTCCCCTACTGTCCATTTAGTGATCATATCATCACTAAAGGTGAACTTGTTTATAACATGAATTCTTTTTAAAAATTTACCTTTGTTTTCAGTTTTTTATTTTCTTCTACAATAGCTTCATATTTCTCTTTCATTTCTGCCAATTCTAGGCGAAGCAGCTCTATTTCTGGATTTTCTGGAGTAGCAGCTCCTAAGTGATGCTTTAAAAAACTAATATCAAAGTTAAGAATTTACTTGAGCGGAATGAAACTAATGAAATAACCCAGAGTAGCATCAATATCTCTGATCAGAGTCACCCCACCCTACCACCCTTATTTCCCCAGACAGCATCATCCAAAACCTCAAAGGAAATACTTTTTCAATAATCAAAAGTATTTTAAAGGTTATTATCTGTGTGAAAAAATAAGAATTCCAAAAATAAGGCCTTTTTCTGACTTGAAAGATGAAAAGGATACTCCAAAGCACTATTAGGTTTCTCTGGTTCTTCATATAAGGCTACCAATACTGCAAATCAAAAAGCAAAAAAAGCAACAATTAAAGTCTTAAATTTGAATGGCTGAAATTGTATTCCATAACCCAGTGTATATTAAGTGCCTATTATATGCCAAGCACATTGCTAGGACTGTCTATGGTAAACAAGACAGACATGGTCCCTAATCTCAATGAATTTACAGTCTAGTGCAAAAGCAAGGAACTAGACAAAAAAGAGTATCAAGGGACAATACAAGATAACGGGTTATGGGAGCACATTGGAAGATCACCTAACTCAGCCTAAGGGTACGAGGGAAGGCTTCCTAAAGGAAGGGAAGTAAGACCAGAGACCTAGGTGATGAGGGTTGCACATAAAATGGGAAGGGCAGGAGGCAAGTGAACAACATATTTAGGAACTGAAATTCAAGTGTGGCTAGATGGGAGTTTTGAACCATGTGGCAGGAGTATCCACTGTCAGTGATTTACTGAAGAAGCTGGAAGGGTGGCTGGGGGCAGACTAGAGAGGATCCTGCAAGTTCTGCTGGACTCTGATCCTAAGAACAAAAGGCACATAAACATTTTCAGCAGGAGAGTGACAGGATCACTCTTCACTGCTGTATGGAAAATCAACAAGTGGGACACCCACAAAGGCAGGAAGAGCAGTTAAGAGGCTAATGTAATCACACGTTGAAAACGACAGTCACCTGCACTAGAGTGACAGGGGTGGAAATAAGGCAGATAAACTTAAGAAAAATTTAGTAGAGAGTGAACATGGCTATGGTAATTACTGAAAAATTTTGAATTCAAAATGTTCTTCAGGAATGAAGTTTCATACACAACTTGCAAAACAACCACCAATCAAAAACTTGACCAGTAATCAACATGCTCAAATCAATATTAAAACATAATACTTGAGTGATTTCATATCCAATAGCTCATGTCAGCAATACCTTGCTCACCTTCTATTGAACAAATTCCTCCTAGGATTTACTACTCAGATAAAAATCGCTCTAAACCAGTGCTTAACTTTTTTTGTGCATGGAACCTTTGAAAAATCTGATAAAAGCCAAAAATATGTAACTACACACAAAAAAATGCATATCTAGACCCCAAGTTAAGAACTCCTGTCGTAAACCAACTTACATGCTTCCCTTTTATTTTTTAGTTTTAATAACTCATCAAAATAATACAGACAGTATGGTAAAACTCAAATGGGCAGCTATTGTACTTTGAACAACTTGAATCGAGTTCTGATGGTTACTCTTCATCTCTCTAAATACACTTGCAACACTATTTTTTTGAGAAATTGATGTTTCCACCACTACTCTTCTCCCCTTTTTCCATGTTACTGTACCCTTTAATTCCTGTACTTACTACCTTTTTCTTTAAATTATATGCTCAAACCCGTTTCTTCCATTAATTTCTGATCTCCATTGAGTCCTAATTTTATAAGACACGAATACTCTTATCCTTTCTTCCTCTTCTTCCCCCATCCTATTTCTTTCAACTTTTAAATTTCTGTCAGTGGTACTTACAAGGTTGATAATCACAGAACATAATGTAAATGTCAAGTTTCCTGTGTTTTTCTATAGATGGAATATACTTCCTTTTAATCAGACAAGAAAACTGTATACCCGATGTTCCCCTTTTTGCCTTAGCAGCCAGGATTTTGAGAGGTTGGTACAGTGCTCAAAATAACTAAAATACTTCTTCCAAATGACTTATCATCTTTATGTTTAGCCATCCAGTCTTACAGTGTTTTAATGTTAGAAGCAGTTTCAAATCCTCTTGGAAATAAGCTAGATAAAAATTATAAATTAAATCTATGTAAAGTACCTAGGTTTGAAGCTGAAAATCAAATTTTAAATAGATCCTATCAGTAGATAGTATGTTGTCTGATGTTTAGAAAAATGGAAATCTCGGGAGGTTGAGGGTTAGATACCAGTTAGATATGAGCAAGGGAAAAGAAACCTCCAATGGTTTCCAATCTCTCATTAAGGAAAATCCATGTATGGCCACAAGGCTGTATATCTTCAGTTACCTCCCACAACAGTCACTTTTCTGCCCTTTACCATTCTTTCACTCACTCCATCTAGCCACTCTCCTCTCCTTACACTTCCTGGAACTCTTAACATCACATACTATTTCATTCAGGTCTCTGCTTAAATGTTACTTAAGAGAGGCCTTCTCCCCAGCCATCTCCCATACAAAAGAGCATACCCATCACTCTTTATCCCTTACTTTGGTATGTTTTTATTCATAAGACTACCAGCTGACACTGTGTATTTATTATGTCTCCCCCAACTACAATATAAGCTCATTTAAAGATGGGAATTTTTGGGCCGGCCGAATGGCTCAGTTGGTTAAGAGCTCGCTCAAGAGTTTGAGCTCTGAGCAACAGCGGTTCGAGGCCAGCCCGAGCTGAGCAGCCGCTAAGCTGCCAATAGGTAGCAGGATGGCTCAGCTAAAAAAAAATTTAAAAAAAAGATGGGAATTTTTTTCCACTACTGTATCTCCAAGTGCCTAGAACAGAGACCTGAATAAAATGGTTAAACAAATGAAAGAAATGAACTTGTGGAGTTTTTTTGAGGGGAGTGGGTCAATGAGATTCTAAGTCTCTGTGACACTTCAGAAACAACAGAGCTCAGTGCTTTCACCGAGTAGTCCCTTAATGTTTATTGAAACTTATTTGCAGAGATAGGGAAACTATTACTAAACCCAAGGTAAGTAGCAATTCAAAATTACCAGCCCATGCTTGGGAATTCAAAGGCCTGCTTTCTGCTAAGACGCCAGAGTTAGTTCTCCCATAATTTTCTCCTAACCTTTGTTTCTGGCCAAAAAGCAGTTACCAAATTATTTCCCAGACAGTTACTGTTCTCATGTGGACCCAGGTCCTCATCCCTGCTAGCTTTTCTACAGCCTTGAAAGTCCCGGCCAACTCAATGACACATACATAACAGGCATTCAAATTAACTGCTGAACTAATGAAATAAGCAGTGCCCCAACTATCTCTTGGAACTCTCCAGCTTCAAGCACCTTACTTAGATAACTTGAACCTTGGAGGAAAGAGACAGTTTAACAGCTTCCATTTTAAAAAGTGAAAACAACATAACCATTTTGATGTACCCTCAAATTCCTTAAACTGTAATTCTACTTGCATTGTGAAATCCTCAGAGTAGGAATTGATACAGACTATGAAACCGGGGTTGAAAAGCCACAGCCTGACTATGAATCGCGCCTGCGTTGGGGGTTAGGCTCACTTAGCTACTTCATAGCGCGCTTTCAAATCGGTAAATTTTCCCACTTGCCCTTTGTTCGAGGTTAAACGTTTCTTAGGAGTCTGAGGACTCCGCAGAAACTAAAGCGGGAGGAACAGGGATCTCAATGTCTTTAGCAAACATGCTCACTGCGGCTGCTCGAGGCTAAGCAACGGAAGTTGGAGAGACTTTGTAACAGCTGCAAGAGTTTCAATCCCGACCGGGAGAGTGGTAGCGTGAGTGAGGTTACCTGACCCGGGCGGTGTCCGGCCGCCCAGCGTACGCCGGTCCCCGCCGAACCCCGAGGCCCACCTTGCTGGACCCCGGACAGGTCCCACCACTACCCGCTTCGTCCCCACGCCACGGCTCATCAGGGGCGCAGCCCCGGGGAGCACGACAAGGGCACGAGGAAACCTCTCCTAGCCCATGCTCACCCTTGGTCAGCGTGTCCAGCACCCCCGACTTCTCCAAGTACCTCCGGAACTGCTCGCGCTTCGAGTCGGCGGCCTGAGGAGACACGGCGGGTCAGTGGCCGAAAGCCGGGGGCCGGAGCAGGAAGAAGGCGCTGGAAGTCCGGCAAACCCCGCCTCCGCCTCGCTACCTCAGGCCCCCCAAACCTGCGCGCGCGCCCCCAATCCCACCCGGAGCCGACCAGCGGCTGGCTACCGCCCGCACGCCCCCAGCCACGCCGCGCCCCCCTCACTTTGTAATGGGCCATAGTGACAGCGGCAGCGGCGTCGCTGGCGCCGGAGACCGTGGCTGGCGGGCTCTGAGTAGCACTGCCCATGCGCGAAAGGCCGCGCGCGCCTGCGTACTTGCGAACCACGGTCCGGGATGGCCGGGGTGTGGCCTGTTTTCATGGCGACCAGGACGCTCTAGATGCCCAATAGTGGGCTGAACCGAGGGAGGTTGCGTACGCCCGCCCATCTGGCTATCCGAGACTCACCTCTTTCCTTTTCCGGTCCCTGTAGCGATTCGTTTGCTCAGCAAGAGGCGAGGTTTCAGTTAACTCGAGACATGTGTTCAGGTGGGGCCAAAGATGGGCGTGGCGCCCAGGGGCGGGGCCTACGGAGCCCAGGAGCACTACGACTGCTGCGGCCGGGAAGGATGTCCCGACACCGGTAGTGGGCGAACCTGTCTCCACTGGTACTTCGGAACCTGTGGTAACCTATGTGTGCTAGCTTCTTGGCTGTCATCCTGAAAAAGTGCCCGGACTGACTGACGTAGGGCGACCTTTGGATTTCCAATGGCTTCAGTAGTGTGTTTAGGATTGTATGTTTCGGTTCTAGCATTTACGTTTTGAGTTTACTTGTTTTGTGGCCGACTTGATGTGGGTCTCTGTAGAGTGAACAGTAACGTGCTAATAATAGCTAGCACTTTTGAGCGCTTATTGTGTAGCCAGGCAGTGTCTAAAACACGTGTTTCTTATTTTAATTTTCACACTATACCTGTGGGGTAGGTATTGTTAGTAAAGTGGCGAGGTTAGATGACCAGTTAGTAGTAGAGCCAAGATTCCAATTTGGGCACCAAATTCACGATGCTATAAACTGGTCAAAGAAAGCCACCAGTCTTTTTAAGATTTTATTTACTAGATAACATTATGATTATATGAAGACACATCAGATTGCAGTTTATAAGGGCACTTAGCCAAGTCCCAGGAACAAACAAAATTTAACCAGTGTCTAGAAATAAAAGATCAGTAACTAAAAAGAGAAATTATATACATTAAAAAACAATCTACTAAGGCTGCAGTTCCTTCAAGGTAAAACCTGGTTTCAATCCATTTAGCCTGTGTTCTGAGCGTATGATTTTCCAAAATCAGTTTTCACAAATTCTGAAGGGAGCCCGTGAAAAACTAATCCTGATTTGGTAACTATATGTCTTTGATTTTAAAACTACCCCTTCACAATTCAGAATTTGAGCTGTTTTCCCTTTTTTGAAATGAGTTTGCAGTTGTCCATCTTAAGGTGGTCTTTTGAGCTGTCCTTATCTGTTCTGTCTATGCTCCGCCACCACTAGGCTGCTTCTATAATAATATATGCAGAATGTCTAAAATTCAACAGCTGTTCAGATCTGAAGGTCTGTGGGAGCCTGCCTACTAATGAGGTTGTCATTAACACTAAATGATTTGGAGGACAAGCGGTAGGATTATTGCAGGTTGTGACCAACTCAGATCCACAGGACAAGTCTCCTGAAGAACCAGGATTGTCTGGAATGTAAGCTGGTTGAAAGTCCCCTTGTAAAGGAGAATGGCTCTGATTGTGCCCTCTCTGAACTGGCCCTTGAGGTTATCTTTAGGAGGGTACGCCCAGTTTTCGTCTTCTATAGAGGGACTCCATGTAGCACGAAGTCACCTCGGTTTCCCAGTGCTGTTAGCTGGCAAGGAGAAAGCTGTCTGGGGTGACCGCCCCATGTTCAGATCTGTAGTAAAACCTGGACTAGAACAGTAACCTCTAGAGTATTGGTTCCTTTTGCTGTCTTTGCCATCAGTTTCTCTTTTTTCCCTTAACTGGTTACCATCAACTTCTTTTCCAAATACTTTATGAGTGTCTTCATTAGTACTTGAGCTGATATATTGAATATGACTAAGTGTGCACATCTCATTAAAAAGCACAGTTTCCTGTTGATCCAGAATGCATTTTTCATCATTTCCATTGTGATTGTTAGGATCTGCCTGAAATGCAGATGAATTTAAACTAGGGTACACTGCTGTGTGTGTTTCCTTTTCCACTAACAGATTATAATCAGGTGCAGAAGACAGTCTGCTTCAGTGAATTTGCAGATGTGCTCTGATATTTGGCAAGATTTTGTTTTGACTTATTCGCATAGAATTCATTATGCTCATCCTTTGATTTATATTGTCCCCAAAGCCCTCTTTTAATCTTTTTAAAGCCTAGGTGGAAAATTTCTAGAACATTTAAGAAAAGTGAAACAGTGGTATGGATTGCATAAATAATAGAAATATTGTCTTTTCTGTTGGTCTTGAGACAAAGCAATCAGTTATATTTGGACATGGGTGGCCATGGCATTTAAATAGAGGCTCTAAATGACATCCATATAAAAGATATTGTCCAATCATTAACCCAACTTCAACTACAGAGCGAGCTAAAATGTATATCATATAAGTGCAAAGCAAGGTTCCCGAGTGGAACTTTGTTTAGCTTCCTTTGCTCCAGCTGATAAAGTTCTTACTCCAATATCCTCTGATTCCCAGATATTTCAAACTCTACCCCCTCCAGTTCTCCTCTCAGTTGAGCTTTCTCCCTCTTCCTCTCTTTCTCCAGAGCTCTCAGTCTGTACAAAGCATGACCCATGTAGACCAGGGGTGGTGAAGACACAAATATCACCTGCAGAACCCAGTATCTAATGAGGGAGATAGGAAAGGCCTGATCATAGCATACATTTCTGCAGCCAAGTTGTTCTGTATTGCAGATGAAGCCAGCCTGCTCATCATTCCAGACATTTCCAGCTGCTACACCCAGAACAAGCATTCGAAATATGAACAGGATGGTGAGCCAGATCTTTCCAGTCATGGTGGAGTGGATGTGTACTTCCTCCAGAATGCCTCCAAGGAAATTCCAGTCTCCCATGTTTATTTAGTCCGCCATCTTAGGTCTGAACCCCATCAATTAGAAGGCAGATAAATTCTTCCATTCTGACAAGTGTGCTATTTCTTAAAGCAAACCTATGGCCAAAATACGAACAAAGCATCACTCTTTCAGAGTGCTGATTGCTTTACTTTTTCCCTAGAGTTGTAATAATCTGTTCCCAAGAATATATTTAAGATGTCAGAAGCTTAAAAATCACTTCTGTTTAGATCTCAATGCAATGGAAAAAACATGATACCTGGGGAGGGGTGTTTATAAACGCTATGAAAAATAGAACTGTAGGATTCCCTATAAGAAAGGAGTCTTCTTAGCTGAAGTTTGTTTTATTTTTTTAAACTCAGAGCTTTTGGAGAGGTTCCTAAAACTATTGATTTGCCCTTAACAAACCTATTTATTAAGATTATTTTATATAAAAGTTATAACCAAAGTCAATGACTTTAAAATCTCATTTATACACAAAGAAAAATGAATGTGTTTCATTTCATAATTCAGTAAGATACAGCATTTAATGAAACCAGAGGAAACATCTGGCTCTTGCTATAGGAATTCAGATTCGTTTTTTAGTCCACATTTAAATGTCTAAATTCTGGTTTCTTCATGACATCTTTTGAGCATTTTCAGAAATCATTTCAGTATATACTTATGAATATTTATGAAATTCTTACACTTTGCTATGAAAAATATTGTAATTTTCTTTAGTATTAAAATCTGCTGATGTATTTTAATTCTTACTCTATTTCGTACCTATCATTTATACAGCCCACCTCCTATAAATTAAAAGGTGCCATTAGGAGGCTTAGACAAAAAGTAGCTCCAAAGCTGGCTTAAAATAATTTTTTATTGCCCAGGATATTTTTTTTCTTGTGGCTTGTGGTGGTTTTCTTGTTTTCTTTTTTAATAACTATAAATTCAAGCTTTGGAAAGCTTGCCTTTTTGTCTTGAAAAACAACAATGAAGCTTTTATATCATTTGCTAAACTGATCTTGTTTTAAGAGAGAGATGGTAGTTATCTTGCAAGAGTAAAATTTATACCATGAATGATGCAGGTCTAAGTCTGGTGGTACTAAAAGGAGACAATAGCATTGTTGACAAAATTATCCGCATTTGCGGAAAAGAAACCCTTGCAAATTTCTAAACAACAGTACACTGTTAGGAAATTCTAAAGTGCCTTACAGGCCAAAAAGGGAATGAGGTTAGTCAAGTGCTTCAACAGAGTTTGAAAATACTGGGTTTGAGGGCTGGCCAAGTGGTGCATTGGTTAGGAGTTGGCTTGGGACGCCAGCTCTGAGCAGCAAGGCCCCGGTTCGGATCCCACATGAGGGCCATTGACACTGCCCTCTACAGCTAAGACGGTGAACAACAGCTTGACCTGGAGCTGGGCTGCTGTGAGTTGCCGGCGATGGCATAGGCTGCAGTGGGATTGGCCAGCAGCAGGCATGAGCTTTCGTGAGCCACCATGAGCCACGGTCCAATGGCCGGCCAGCAACTGCCTCAGCCGGGAAGAGCGCAGTGATAATACCAACATGGGCCAGTGAGGCGACATCCTCCACAACTAGACTGAAGAACAAAAGGACAGCAACTTGTCTGTTCCCCTT